TTGGGTTTCACCCAATGCTATTACTAGAAGTCGCAGAGCAAGCAAATCAATGATTTGACACAACAGATTCGAACGGGAACACTCCTTCGAGTTCAGAGTTGGAGAGAATCCCAGAGTTGACTCCTGGAAATAATGGAATGGAGGGAAATCATCCAATATTGTCTTTTGTGACGAGCAGCAGTGTTGTTCACGGAAATACAGACCCTTTCGACATGAGCCTACTCAGAGATGAGGTGAATACTGAGTCATTGGAAAGGGATGTCTCGATGGAAGAAAATCCTGTCTCAGAATCTTGCGAAATGCTTTCAGCAGCAGCAACTGTTTCCGAGATCTTACAGCTTGAAGAAGTTGATGTTCCTTCTATCAAGGCATCTTATGTTCCGCATCCCCGTGGAGGCGAAAAGATGAAATTATTACACAAGAATGGTGATTTTGAGCTCCATTGCCCTTGTTTAAAGGTCCGGTTCGGACTCAGCACAAAGTTGGTGGATCATGCCTGGAAGGCCACGACTGAGTTTCATGGTTGATGCATCTCCAAGTTTATGTAGAGTTCTGGATGCTTGTGACAAACTAGCTATGAATCTATTCAAAGGTTCAGGTAGTGAATCTAATTGGAGACATGTTGTGGTGCGGCATGACAAATACACCAACTACCCTAAAGTGAGGATCAAGTAAGTTCCATCGCTTGCTTCTCTTTCCTGTGTTTCCTCATTTTCGTAGTATTGTATGTCCTTCGTAAAGCTTCCACGAAATGGGTTCATGGGTTGATGGAAGTACTTTAGTAAGCACTCAAGCTGACTTTGTATGCATTTGGCAGCATACCCACTTTGGTAGACGGGAATGTGGCTCAATATGCGACAGAGATGTATCAGAAAGAGGGATCAGGAACCATGCAAAAGCTCGTATTTAGCAAGTTTGATCCGGAGGAGCTTGAGCCATGGCTCAACCCAGGGACCTTTCTGGATGCTTACCTCTTCCTGGATACCTACGATTATCAAAACCGTGCCGGGATCGAATAGTGGCGAAGAAATTGGTGATCCATAACGAGTGACAGCAGAAGCACGTTAGCTTTTTCTCGTTAGATGGTTGGCTGCTCTGCAGGCTCTGTAACAAGTAGGCTTTGACAAATTGTTCGCCGAAGGACATTTATTTGCAATTGTTATACTTGCTCATTTGTTAATTTACTTACTTTTAAAGTTAGGGATCAGCTGACAATAATATTGCTTCACTTATTATTAAAGACATCACCTTTCTTTGTAGACAGTTGAATATGTTATCTCGAGACTGGGGATACCCAGATTGGAATTTTAGATTAACCATAACTAATTCAGGACAAAAGAAATGCGCACTTTCTCTTCTCAAGGTTCACCACCATAACATGTTACATTTCTATTATTTCAATCAAACCATAACATATCTCTTTGCTATACTACACGTCATACAACAACAATGACTAAAAAAAGTTAGGGTATGTCTATAGTGACTTGCAAGTTAGTTACTGTGATTTGGACAAAAAAAAATGATCGAAAAGAGTAAGTGGTCTATGGTTATATTAATATGCCTATTCTAATGAAAAATAACAGTCGACCTCATATTGGAACATATCGACTCCTTAGTGGAAAGTAAGGTAACAATAAGTCGAGTTGTTGCCTATTTCAGTCGACCTTGTATAGGTTTGGTCAACCGCATTGAATCCAGAATGTCATACAAAATGAACTACAATAGAAATTCACAATCATAGTAGCAAGAAACCAAATTGACTTAAAAGATTAATCATTTACACAAAAAATAAAATAAACATACTTCACAATACTTTACACTTATCTCAAATCTAAAACCCTAACGACTTAAGCTCATTCCACAAAATAGTTACTTTAAACCAAATTGTCTTTAAAGATTAATAAATCACACCAAAAGAAGTTACTTTCATTCTATGCACCAGAAGAAGTGATCCTCTTCCTGAGGTTTGGAATATACAATACTTCTACCAACAACTCTTTAGTTATATATGTTTGTACCATGTAGCTCCGGATACGAACAATAGTGATTTGTTGGTGTCAGCTTGAATCACGACCCATTCGTCTGATCTCATCGAGAGGGAAGGAATTTGTGGAAAGCTGTGGATGCCCCCGGATTAAGCTCCGACGATCAAGTTAGCTTAGGTATAGAGTGAGTTTAAAGAATAATATAGAGAGAGAACCCATATGTCAAAATGAGGGTGAAGAAGTTGAGTCCTCTCCTTGGAGGGCTTGGAAGCCTTTATATGGACGTAGAGGGCAACGGTTGCGCGACAGGTTTTGCGTCACCGATAGCGCTGCAGGTTGGGCTTCACTATGCTAGTGTGCCGCAATGTTGGTGCGCTACTATTTAGTTTCAGTTTGGCATCACTAGTGTAGTCTTCAGTTGGCGAGCCACTATGCTAGTGCGCTACAACTTAGTCTCGGTTTGTGTCAAGGTTGGGCGTCACAATGCTAGTGCACTACTACTTAGTCCCATTATGTGTCAAGGTGGAGGTCACTATGCTAGTGCAACACTGTGCTAGTGCGCTACTATTTAGTCTGTGCAAGGAGGGTTTAGTAACATCCCCAACAATTGCCCCCCAAGCTGGTGATGAGTTTTAACTCATCTCTAGCTTGATAATATTGTTTTTTTTTACATCTTCATTGAGCACCCTGGATGGGACCCATGTACCCCTAGTTGCCCCCCAACTGGTGGCGCAACAACATGACGTGGTGCCAGTTTTATGCCATTTGCCCCCCATGCGATGAATTTCACTAAGGCGTTGAACACTCACTCTTTGAAGTTTCTTCAAGGCGTTATGTGCTCTCTTTTATAGAGTGCTCTTTAGTAGCTGCTCGTATAGACTGCACTTGAGTAGCCACACATATGAAGTGTGGTTAAGTAGCCACACGTATGTGAACGGAGGTAGTCGAGCGCTCATATATTGGAGATTCACCAATGCTCTTGTCGAAGACTTATTTGGATCGCGTTATGGGACGGATGTGATGGCGGGAGCTGGATGAATTGAAGCGAACCGGACCTATATGTTGTGCGGTTGGAATGAAAGTTAAGTGCGGTAGGAGCAGGCCGCGAGTTAGGGTTTGGGCCCAACACTTGGTGTGAGGTGGGGGCTATGCGGGAGTATGCTTTGTGCTTAGTGTGGGTTGGAGTCATCAACAAGCGGGTGTCCCGCATTAGTAGCAGCAGTGACCAAGTAGTCTATTGGTTCAGTGTAGTTAATGGCAGAGGGAAGTAAGTCCGTTCGAATCCCTGGAGGTGTTTCAATTTTGTGAGTCTTTAAACTTGTAGGGCGGGGGCGGAAAGCGGATTTTGGGTCACCATATCCCTTGTGGGCTTCACGTAGAGGCTTGTTTCGTGGCTGGAAGCGAGCTGGTGGACTTTAAAGGCAGAGCTGAACGCAGAACGAGCTCTGAAGGTCAACAAGCCACCTAATCGAGCCTCACGAGCCGAACAAGGTTGAGCTCAAATTCTACTCGTTAATGAACAAATCGAGCTTTTATTAATCGAACGAGCTTTTATCAAGTTTGAGATCGAGCCGTTCACGAATAGTTTGGCTCATAACAGCCTTAGTTGCGCGGCTGGTTGCGCGTCACCTGGTAGCGCGGTAGGTAGCGTAGCAGGTTGGGAGTCACTATGCTAGTGCGCTTCTACTTAGTCTCAATTTGGCGTCACTAATGTAGTCTTCAGTTGGTGCGCCACTATGCTAGCACGCCACAATGCTGGTGTGCTACTACTTAGTCTCGATTTGTGTCAAGGTTGGGCATCACTATGCTAGTGAGCCACAATGATAGTGCGCTATTACTTAGCCCCATTTTGTGTCAATGTTGGATGTCACTATGCTAGTGCAACTGTGGTGCACTACTACTTAGTCTGTGCAATGCGGATTTAGTAACATCCCCAACAATATGCATCTACATCCCATTAACATATGATGAAAATATGCAACAGTTCCATCATCAGCATAATGAGAGGTGATGTTGTTTTAGAAACACTGTACCTTTTATAAAAAGTACGACACATCAAACGACAAGACCTTGAGCCACTCTTGCTCCATAGATGATCCAAGAGAACCGTGAGCTTCAAATTGAGTATAAGGCGCTTCCGTCATGGTCGTTCAGGATCCACCTTGTGGTTGTGAATTTTGTTCTATTCTAACCTTTTGTTGTGTTTATTTATGGAACAATATTGCGTTGAAATCACCACCCTATTCACTACTTGAGCTCCCCTCTTTGTTAAACGTTATTTTCTTCTTTCCTTAAAACATCCTAAGATCCAAGAAAAGCAAATTCTTAAGTTGAACACACATATGCAAATTTTAGGGGGAAAAAAATAACACGCATATGCTCAATCTTTGAAAATATAACTCAAGTTGTTTCCGTTCGTTCGACCAATCAATAGGGAGAGGTTGACCAAATTATTAAAATTTGCAAACATTTCATCTACAAAATCTGGCCACGAAGAACCAACGATGGACCCATGAACGCAAGGTGACTCGATTCTAAGTACATTCTCAATCTAAGGCAAAGTGGAACCTTCAACAGTGGTAATATAGAGCAAGTATTTTTCATATTATCAAACCCAAGCGGTCTATGTATCCTTAAACTACAAATTATCTAGCAATAGAAATATAATTTTAAGTTAATGAACTAACAAAAATGCAAGCAAGGTTGAATCAATGAAGAAAGCTTCACTCGGATGATTATCCCCCTAATCCCATGTTAATTTAATGACATGATACTCTAACATGATTCACGTGAAGTATATACCGTTAGGAGATGAAAGCTAGTTAGGATTCCCTATTTGAGTTGTCCTAACCGGCCTAATTGCTCTAATTGTAAAGGCACACAAACTACCATATTAGGTGATTAGGGCAACCAAATCCACTCTCTGAGGTGATGACCCAGAATAGCGTAAAGAAACCAATCACCCTCGTTCATGGCCCCTTACAATGATTGAATAATGCCCTAAATAACTCTAAAGATATCAACTCTCACCTAGGTTACTTGGCCCCAAAATTTAGGGAATTGATCAAGGATCTTCAATTATTATGATAAATACTCAACCAATAAATAAGCATGATAAATACTCAATCAATATACAAGCAATCATGTCAATCACAACATAGATTTCACAATCATCAAACTACAACTATAGAGAAGGAAAACCCCATGAAAATATGATTCTCCTTCTCCCTAGTTGCTTGGGATGGTGATGAAGATGAAATCTGTCCTCTTTTGATCTTTTGTAGCTCAAATTCCCATTCAATCGTCCTTGGTTCGTTGGTTTATCTCTCTAGAATGAAGAAGAAGGTCAAACTCTCTCTCTAAAACTCTCCTCCCTTTTGAAATTTACTCTCTTCATATTTATACTAGTAGTGCAATCTTCATGGCCAAGCGTCACGAGTGTGATGTGTGAAGTGAAATCGTGACATCGACACAAAACGTATTGTTTCAATTACATATTTCATGGTTTCCTTACATTCTTCATGCCATGCGTCCATGATGTGTTCAATGCCCGCAAGGTATTCAAATGCTCCTGGATACTTGCAAGCTTCACGGTTTGTAGGTAATCTTCATGGTCTTTTCCCGTGAACATATGCTATGAACCATGATCCATGCAATTTCCAAAACTTCGTCTCATTTTTGCCTCCTTTCGATCCTTTTGCCCATTTCACCTGATAGATCCTCAAACATACTAAAGCATGACAAAAACTAGCTAAAATGGCTTCAAGGACAATGCCACACAAGTCAAACAACAAAAATTCGTATAAAAATGGATTGAATCACAAGTTTGACCAGATTTCCCGTGTAGGAGCACACACAAACATAAATTGGCCATTTAGTTGCGAAAAACAATAACATTGTGGTCAAAACATTCTGTCGGATGATTGAGTGAGCAACATGAAAATGAACCCTAATTTAATAGTTTTTTGTTTTTTTTTTTCTGTTAAACCATCCAAATTTTTATGAATTGGGTGAACCAAAGACAATTGTATGGT